GTCTAGATGGGAAAATCTAGACTGTGGTCAATATCAATTTCAGCCAATCAAATTCGTGAATTCGGTAGTTCCCAGTCCTTGTGAGACACAGCCATATAATAATTAGGCATAACAATCCAATGGGCAGCGCGTGTTGGACAGCTGGTAAAGACGTCCAGGTTTCACCATGTGCAGGGTCAATACAAGAGTTGCCTTTTTCATTTGATAGGCTTGAGAACTTTCTTATTTGTAGGTTCCAGCAGAAGATGGTTCTACTCATTTTTATATATGGCTAGTTCTGTGAGAAGGCAAGATGAACCAAATCCCATGATTGGCTACCCCAGAAGCCAAGATGGGCTATCTTGAATTTTGTTCCTTATGCCATGTAAAAATATAAATCCTTCAATAGCCACACTTGTTTGGTCAAGAAGACTGATATTGGCTTTACTCCTTTTGAATGTTTATGGACCTCGACTGCATCTCAGTTAAACAAAAAAAAAAACATGCCAAAAAATAGTACTTGGCAAACACCCAGTCACACCAACTGGACACTTAAGGTCAATAACCCATATATGCACTAAAGGCTGGCAGTCTGTTTTCTCTCAAAATCATGGTGGGAATTACAAGATATTTCAGACAAGATAGACTGCTGGTAGCTGGTCTTTACTCTTAGGGTCAGAGAAGTGTTAGTCTGTGAACAAGAATGCAAAAGGGTGATATGGAGGAAAAGAGTTTGGGCCGAGACAAGATAAAAAGGTCTGTTTTACTTCTTGCGAGTGCCAGGCCCATGTCTTGCCCCAATCCCCTCTAGTCGGAAACGTCGTGCCTTATGAATACCTGTTTTCAAGAGAGAAAAAGACCGCCAGCAGACTAAGAGACATTGTGACAGTGTCTTTCCCATGAACATGACACAACCCTGGTAAGCTCTCAACACAGGGATCCTGATCTAGAGTCTAATATCTAATAACTATCAGAAACAACACTCTTATTTCACTGTGAGTCCAAAGAAAACAACTACCCCTAAGTCGTTACAAAATTCCTGTGTTACCTACTTTATAGTTGATCCACTTTGTGACCCAAATAGGACCTTGTGTAGAGCCACACTAGAGTTGCCTTCAGCACAGGGCTGTTGTTGATTCCTGATAAAACAGACACCAAGCACCGTTGTACCTGGCTCCAAAGTGGATTCCTTTTCATCATCAGGGACAACCTGCTTTTGCCATGATGGCTGACTGCTGATGAACGATGGTCCATCACTTGATGTGGCCTTGGATGTTTCCTTCTGATTCCAGTATTTCTGTAGCAGCTGACCCACATCCAGTTCAAATAGGCATCGATAACCACCATCAGATGTCAGGTCATACATGTGAACCTTAAAAATATTGCAAGTATCAGCAATTTAGTATTTTACGATAACTGCAGAAATTCTTGCATGTTTATTGGCTAATTTTCATTGTCAATAAGCGAACAGACACATGAATTTATCATTTATGTAATGTGTCATTGAATGAAAGTGGACACTTTGACATTCTGTTATTGTAAAAAAAAAATTGATGTCAGTTTTTCATGCATCTGTCCTGTTATTGACAATGAATTTCGTCATAACATTTTCAAAGTGGTCTGTGGATCCACTTGGGTATCACCTTGTGGATCCATAGCTACTTTGACAATGTTATGACAAAATTCATGATCAATAACAGGCAGAAGCATGAAAAACTGACGTCAATTTGTTAGTATATAGGGTTTGGAAGCCAGGAACATAAAAATTAGTTACTACTTTACATTTTTAACTACGCTTCAAATGCAGCGAAAAGAAATGCCAGGCAGCTGCATTTGCAGGCCATTTTTACAAGAATCATAAATTACAGGAATATCCTAAGCTTTTGGTTTTACAATAAGCCAATAATTGGGTTCATGAGCCTTGAATATAATTCAACATGGAATAGATGTTACAATCATGGGAGCCATAATTGGACAAGATTTACTTTTTCTTTCATAAGTTGTGTTGTTCCATTATTAAATAAATTTATAACTACCTTTCCATCAGCAGAACCGATAGCCATCTGATCTTGAACAGTGTCAATATCCAGTGAAAGGAATGGGTGGGCTGAAAGATTTCAAGGGCTTTGTAAACTTCCAATAATAAGTCCACTCCAAAAGAAATAGAGCATCTCTTGTGTCAGCTAACCTCTGGTTATTAAACTGCCCTTATTTGTAGAGAACATGATAATATTGTATTCTACATCATGTCCACGGATGTGACAACCAAAGCTAATGCAGATGACAAAAGAAGAGGAAATTGTGTTGTTCAGAAAGTATCATACCCTTCCCACAGAGGGGTTTTTGGTTTGACCCCCCCCCCCCTCCATAACTCTGAAAACTCCAGTTTTGGTTCCTACTTTCCTTTAAAAAGTTTAGCTTTTGAGACCCCCTCCCCCTTGGAATTTCTAGTAACCCTACTTGGTGTGGGTGTGGCTATTTTCTGGAACCATACACTCAAAAAACCCTCTGTCTCACTATGCATCCAGTTTCTACTTACTGGTAATACATATATCCTTACTATAGATCCCAGTGTGCCTGAGAGTGAATGGTTGTAGGGATGTGCTCTAGAAGCATCCTGGTGCCACAGGCGACTAAATTTTACCTTTGGGCGACTAGAGAAACTTACTTTTTTCATATAAGCTTAAGTGCTGAGCACCCAGGATTTCATGGTGAGGGACCTTTGGGCTTCTTGTAATTTTTCTTGGACCACACCCTTGAGTTGTTTTTGTTCCCCATTCTATGGAGGTTGTTTTGGGTGTTAACTTTTCTTTATCTTCAGGCAATGTTAATTTTCATTACTATACATCTCATATCATACATATATCTCTTTTCTGATTGGCTGAAAGTGTACAGTGAATTTTCAAAATCAGTGCCTGTGACGTCATTTAGCTGCAGATTACACAATAATCATGTCAAGGACACTCAAGGTCACGGGTAATCATGTCATGTACGACCGCAGTGCATGATTTCTAAGGGTAATCTGTCAAGTTCACGGGCTTTTTTTGCTTACCATCAGTGAAGAAGCAAAAACATGACTTCCATTTTTTTTTCATTCAATGTATGATAAAGCAATTATTACATTTGTTTTTTTGTGATATCCAGAATAATCAAGGTCTCGGTAAGGTTATCAGCCTCAGACCTTGATTATTCTGGATATCACAAAAACTTCATCCAATAATTGTTCATCAACTGACCAACTGCCTGCCTTCACACTTAAAGCCTGAAATTTGTTTTAGGTTCAAATTACATGTACCGGTATGTTGTTCTGGCAGTTGGACACACAAAAAAGAGAAAATTATGTTTCCTCTCTATTTTAAATTTGTGTTTCATGCTTGAATACATCCAGCAAAAATCCAGGTTTTTCAATTGCTAAGAGGAAAATGGAAATAACAGTAATTTAATTTTCAGTTTGACAGTTCTGGCAGAATCATCCTACCTGACAAAATTGCTGACTGATACACCAGGCAAGACTGTTCAATATCCCACACCTTCAACGTATAATGATCAACAGTAACAAATTAATAAGAAACCATGAATCAAAATGACCACATGATTAAGCTAAAATATATAAAACTGTAGCTATGTGTTTACTAAATACACTCTGCAAAATACATGGTGGCTTAATCGTCCATCTAGCATTGTTTCTCCATCCAGCAAATTGATGGGTGTGGTAATATGCAACATATGCCAACATATGCTGTAAACTTTTACAAACTTAATACTACTGTCAGACTGACAGTTTTAGCATAACACATATGCAAATATTAAAAACATTTCTAATCACTGTAGGCTATCTTTGTAACATATTACATGATGTTATTATGATTGACTAGTACTAAAATTTTTAATGATTACATCAACATGTAATTTTATGTACCTTGAAAGTTCTGTCTTCGCTTATGGACACAATTATTGACTCGTTGTTTGGACAAAATTTTGCACATGTCACAAGGCTAGTGTGTCCTTCCAGCAGGGTGTCCAATTTACTTGTCTATAAAAACATTTATACAAAAATGTAAAAACATCTTTACTCTAGGAATCTAGTTTCAAAGCTGATTAGTTAGGCAGAGGAGGAAAGGCAAGGGAAATACCTAGAGGTGCCTCTATCTCTCCTGCTGGCAGGCTATAGGACCAAAAATCATGAGATCAAGTGTACCAAAGGCATCCGTGGTCGAGTGTTGATCAATACCCTTAATAGACCCTAGATCAACGCGTATATACAGTACGGTTTGCTTCTGGAAAAGCAATCAACATCTCCATCCATACTTGGTTAACAGTCGATTGACATCTTGGTCAACAGTNTTATGAGGAAATGGAACAAAGTTAAATATCTTATGAGGAAATGGAAGAAAGTAAATATCTTGTGAGGAAATGGAAGAACGATTGTGTTTCATTCAAAACGCAAATTTTCTTTTCACCGATAAACAAGAAGTAATTTAATCATCAAATAGTCACGAAATACCACGTTCTTATACAGTTTCCACCTCAGTGATATTGATTATTAGTATAATTTCCAGAGGTGAATATAAGAATTGGACATTCTGATTGGTTGAAAAGCTCATCATATGACGCTATATTCACCCCACTAGAGACCAAGCTCGCCATCTTTGCCATCTCGGCAAGTAAACATGGCAGACACTGGCTGAATGAAGTTTTCATTTATGAGAAAGACATCACTCCAAGTCCAGGATATTAAAAAGGATGGATATTTTTCAAAGTGACTGCTGTCGCCCTTGGACCAAAAATCTTTTTAAGAACTCGCATTCAAGGCATTTAAGAATCATAAACGCAGTGGTTACGTTGATCGATCGATTGACCGACATTTATTTTTCTCCAAAGTAAAGATACTCATTTTTAGACAATGATGGCAGCTGTCTAAACAATGATAAAACAAAGGTACTGGATGAATTTATTTTTCGTAGTGTTTCGCTGGTTTGTTTTACTGCCGAACTCAATGAGTAAATTGATTCCCAATTGATATACAAGTAAGCTTATTATTAAACCTATGGTGGCACACGTGTATTGCGTCTATGTTTTATGTTTAAGTCTGTTATTTTGTAGTCCTTGATATTCACCTCTAAAAATTATACTAAAACAATTATTCGCCTCAGGCTCAGTGAACATTCATGAATATTCACCTCGACTTTGTCTTGGTGAATATTAACCAATGTTCACCTCGCCTTCGATGAATAATTGTTAAGTAAATCTTACTGATGTTGTCAACAGCTAAAATCTTGTCTATGTTCCATATGTAAATAAAGTCTTCTGAAGCTGTGCAGAGAAGAAGGGGTCTGTCCTTCTGTCCAAAACAAGTAGCACTTATGATTTTACTGTGACCAGATAGTTGTAAGGGCTGAAAAGCAAAATATGAAAAATGAAATAACAGTATGGTTAGTCTGTGAGGGTAGTGTCTCGCCCAAGAATACAACTCTGGCTCCAGCCCCCACATCCCTAATCCAAAGTTCTGCACGCTAACTATTAGGCCACTATGACTGCACAATAGGTCAATAAATAACTTTGTTGAGAGATGTTGTTACCATAGCAACCATTTGTAACACGTCATAAGGCCATTTTATTTACAGAGATGCATGTAGGATGACAACAGTATTCAAGAGTTTACCAGAATGTAACGATTTGACAACATGAAAAAAATTGTGTTACTGAGAATATTGTAATAAAGACAGTTAAAAATAGTTTTATCGATCTAATCTGCAAAGATACAACATGCTTTCCAACATAAGCTTATATTTTCATTCTACAAACACATTCCAATGTATGTCATTACTGATCATGCTTTCAATATTCTGAGCTAAATCCAGACAGAGGAAAGTAAAGATCAGCTTATAATTTATACTTCAGCTTTATACACTGCAAGAGTCCTTCAGCTTAGCAAGAACGCTTATTCCATTATTATCTTTGGAATGCAGCATACCTTTCTAGTCAAATCTCCAGCCCACCAAACACCTACAATAGTTTTTGTTAAAGGCAATGCAATGAAATCGCTTGTGCAGGACATCTGTAAATGTCCTGGGGACGAAGAAACTCGGAGCAATCCATCGTGACTTGCCGCCATTTTGTTCAAATCTTGTTGATAACGACCGCTTGTTACCTGACAGTGCAGGCTCACAAATGGAATCCAAGATGGCGACCTCTGGTTCATCGTTTGATGCGGAACTTGGCCAAAGGATCAAAATTGTTAAGGAAACTCTTGCGGTAAAAACTCCAGTACTCTAGGGAAACACTGAAAAGGATCTTAAAAGTTGCAGAGCGCTACCATTTTCCACTCTTCTCCTCTCAAAAGTCGCTCATCGTACAGCTTTATATAAGTTTAGTTAGTCAATTGAGCTAAACTTTTTACTTGATATAAGCTTACTTGACCTAAAATTATAATTGTTTGTTCTGATGATTTTGGAAAAAGCAGTTATTTTTCAAGGAGGAAGTACATGACTGTATTATCGTAATCGTAAAAATCAGAAAAGATTTTTTGGGTCTGTATTGACGGGTATAAAATGAACTCGAGCTCGCATTTAAACACTTTGAAGTCTCGGTCTTCAATNCGACCGCTTGATACCTGACAGTGCAGGCTCACAAATGGAATCCAAGATGGCGACCTCTGGTTCAGCGTTTGATGCGGAACTTGGCCAAAGGATCAAAATTGTTAAGGAAACTCTTGCGGTGAGAACTCCAGTACTCTAGGGAAACACTGAAAAGGATCTTAAACGTTACAGAGCGCTACCATAGTTCTTGGGTGTGCCATTTTCCACTCTTCTCCTCTCACAAGTCGCTCATCGTACAGTTTTATATAAGTTTAGTTAGTCAATTGAGCTAAACTTTTTACTTGATACAAGCTTACTCGACCTAAAATAATAAATGTTTGTTCTGATGATTTTGGAAAAGGCAGTTATTATTCGAGCAGGAAGTACATGACTGTATTATTGTAATCGTAAAAATCAGAAAAGATATTTTGGGTCTGTATTGACGGGTATAAAATGAACTCGAGCTCGCATTTAAACACTTTGAAGTCTCGGTCGTCAATTGAAGAAGTCAAAATGACTTGGGCTCACAGAGACAAACGCTATTCTTGCCTTCTCGCAAAGTCTCGCGTTTGCCATTCACCATCTTTTTCATGTACATCTGATTTGCACAACCAAGATTCCCCCAAATTTTTAACATTCCTTGGCAATGCCTAAGATCTTATCACACACTGTACCCTGATCCCAAATGTCATTACTCTTATAAAAAAAAACTCACTGTTGCTGAAATATTAAGAAGGTAATGCTCTTTTATTGATCTTGATATGTTTCGTGAAGATAACTAAAAATATAACAATAAACTGAAAGTTCTTATGATAACAGATTCATAATCCATTATCTTTTTTTATACCACAGATTGTTATGAGATCAGCAAATATGGCTATTAACCAAAATGCAGAAGTCGACCTTGGAACGTAAGTTGATTGATTGATTGTTGCATCATAACTCTGATTAAACTCCCCTTCTATCAGCCACAACTTGAAAATTATAACTTCCCCCTCAAGTAAGCACTCTTCCCTCTTCTTTTCTGTTTTTCTTTTTTCTGAGTCGACAGCATTAACCAGGGTTGCTTAGCCCATCCAGCATTTTTTACAATCATTAACAATAATTATTGCAAATTAAATTTGAATTCCTCTTGACCACATGTGCATCATTACAGTACAAGAAACCATTTTCTTGACTTCTATTCAATTTCCAGATCCATGTATTTACAAAGTTCCTACAGTTGCAAAAATTAGCTCTTCTTTCAATCTAAGTTGAGCACAAGGTCACAAGATTTCTGAATAACTTTACTACAGTAACTTGTTTCAGTTTGCAAACTACTAAGTACTTTGGTCATCTTGTCATATAGAAATGTTATAAGGTGTAAAATGTCTAGCTGCAACATAGGAAAAATTATATAAGACCTCTTCTTGTATGATCATCCACCACTTGGTGCTAAATTTGAACTAAGCACCACAGCCGTTTGTTACTGGACAGGTGTGAATGATCATTCTGCCATGTTTGTCTGTAGTTTGTAGATGTCTTAAGTTTGTTTTCAGTTTAACCATTTTCAGGTCAGGTTTTATTTGGTCCTTTTGAGACTTGGAGGGAGAGGTGTGACTCTACCTCCTTTTGATGTATGGTGGCTTATTATATGGTGTGGAAATTAATCATGTTTTCACCATTTTCACTCCTGCTTCTTGGATTTGTTTATGTCTTTGTTTCCATCAGGAAACCACTAAAACTGACTTTAAAATGTTATTATGATTAAAACTAATAAAAGGAAACTAAAATAATAAAAATATAAAATAATGTTTATCCTTACCACAAGAAGGTTAAATTTAGTGCTTAGTAATTTTCAGTTCAAATTCCATGACCGATAACATTTCAGTGTTTTCAAATTAACAATATTTTCAGTAAAGTCACAAAAATTGATAGCATTTTCTTAACAACAGTTCATGTGTTAAGTCTATGGGCAGATTATCCCTTCCCCCAGTGTGAATTACATTAATTTCAGCCTATGTCTAGTTGTACCCACCCCCTGAACAGAAACATATTTTGATTGTGAAGCTTTAGACCTTCCCGTGTGAAGCTCCTTAAACACGACATGGAGATCACTTTACTTTGTTTAACTTCATTTAATAACTGATGGAAAATACAAGCCCTGTGATGGATGCAAAGCAACTCATGTGATTCTACTGTATTTCTCAAATCAATATTGTTGTTAATAATCTGCTTCTACTTTGTGCAGGAAATCAGTTGAGGGAGCAAACAACAGACTTGAGAAAAGCTTAGAAGACTTTTATAATGCTTGTGACCAGCTGCAGCTTTATTTGGTATAAACAAATTGAATGTTTTGTGTCTTAACTCTTCATTGCCCTGGCCAAACAAAAACAGGAGTCATCAATAATAATTATTATTAACTATGTCATTATTGTTGAAGAATGAGAGCTGTACAAGAGTCTCTGTCCTGTCTAAGTTTCCATGGTTCAACTAATAATAAAATTAAATTTGAGTAAGTTCATACTCCACTAAAACTTTCAAAA